GAAAATTGATCTTACAGAAAGAATAATATTAGTTTGGATAATAATACAATATATTTAAATTTATTTTTGTCAAACACATATTTTCTTTCTTTTTGAATGATCTTTTATTTTATTATGATTAATTCATGTTTAAGGTTTAATTATATAAAATATAAAAATAAATTTAATTTAACGTATGAGTTCAGAGGTGAAAAATAACTTCACAAATATAAATCATTATATTATATTATTATTCTTTTAATCTGAAAATAATTACGTATTATCATATTTTCAATTTTCTCTTTTCAATTATATACAATTAAAAATTTTACTTTATGAATATTTAATTATGTGTTTTCTGTTTTTGAATTTCTTTTATTAAAATAGATTTTCCGGATAACAACTATATATAGGAATTATCTTTTTATTTTTAAATATATATTAAAATTATGGATAATTCTTATCATTAATAAATATTTAAATCATTTATCTAATCAAATAAATATTAAATTCATTTTTTTGCTGATTTATAATTTTTATTCGTTAAGGGTATAAACGATATTAGCCACTCTAACTTTTAACGTGGGAGCTCCGTTGCGAAAAATCACTTCGCAAATAATAGTATAGATATCTGCAATGTAACTTTTCTAAATGGATTTTGTTTATTTAATCCATCCAGAATTAACTCAACTACTAACTATAAGTATTTATGTGTTATAATTTGTGTCTAGGATAAGACCTGCGCAGGTTGAATGTATGTAATTAAAATATAAAATTTTAGTATTGACAAATTTAAAATTTACATATGATTGTTTTTATATGTATTGAAATTTTAGAATTTTGGAATTTTTATATATTATCTATACGTAGGATCAGAAACAATTGTAATTAGAACTGTAGATCAAAGCTTGGAATTTAGTGCACATGATTTCATATTCTTTTCACTTTTCAATGTTCGAGTGATGGAAAATAAACAGAGTGTCACTAGGTTTGATTGATATAGTATTAGCAAATTCCTTAATGTTTTCTTAATTACTCGATATAAATATTTATTTTGAAGTTTATTCTCATTTCGTTTGTTTGTTTTGACCTGGAATTTAGAAAATACTTAGGATTTAAAATAATTAAAGAGATACATACTTAGGTTAAGATCTGTCTTTTATAGACAATAAGTATTTTATATTTATTATTCATTTTATATTTTTTGCATATTATAAAATAATAGAAGAATAAATAAATATATATATATATATTAAATAACTATATATATATATATATATATATATATATTAAATACTAATAAATCAGTTACTATTATGTAATAAATTGGCGTATGCATATAAATTTAACTATCACTCTTGTTTATTCACAATTAGGGTAAATAAATCAAAATAATCAATCTTATATATTGTATATGATATATAATTAAATTTAAATGATATAAACATAGTAATATAGCACACTTTTAATATGAATATTTATTAAATGAGGTTTCTACTCATATGATTTTATGATTATTTGCATATTTGTGTAACAAAACTTTACACCAATGATTTTTTTTTATGTAAGATGATTAGTAGTTTTAATAATTTATAATCATTTAAAAAAAACAATGACATATTTCAAAATTAAAATATTAACTTTTCAATATATGTTAAATGCAAATATCAAAATATATGTATGTATTTTCATACGATGTATAGTTTAATTTAAACGATATGTAATATATATAAACTAAAATTATTTCTTCATATGGTCTTATAATCATTATATTTTAGTATAGTAAAAAAATTAAAACCTTGATCCTAAAAGTTTATGTGAGATTTCTAACAATGTTAGTAATTTATACTCATTTTGAAAAATTTGAAATACAACATACACAAAAAAAAAATCTAGATTTTTATTATATGATTGATGTAGCTCTGTAATTTATTTTAATAATAAAGAAATAAAAAAAATGAGAAAAAGTATACAGATTGTTATCAAATCTTTATTGTCTAAAATCATTAATTGTCATATATATATATTTTTAATCACTTTACGTAATTCCGTAGGTTTTTGTTTAAGGAAAGCATGCAAAATAATAAATATTTGATATATGCGACCAATTATAGCCTACGAAATATTATATTAATAGAGAGTATAATTTTAGACTATATATTATATTACATGCTCTAGAATCATTCTAAATTGAGTAGAAGACAAAAACTTTCCTGATGCTCTAGAACTATTCCGTCTCATCTTATCGTTATACGATTTCTATATATTATATTACATGCTATAGAATCATTCTAAATTGAATAGAAGACAAAAAAATTCGATGTACTACCTCCTAAAAAGATCAAAAATTAAACATGAAAACTGTGATCTCAAAAAGTCAGCTGGCGACCTTGTGGATATTCACCAAAGGTTCATTATGAGATTAGGTTTTAAAATCATCGAAGGGAATGAGTTTATTGCCTATTACTAAGAAGATGTTTGATAGAAGCCCCACCAACGCGATTGGAGATCCCAAGAGGTTGGTTCAAAGGGAAAACTAAGTCAAACAGAATCTGATTAAAGCACTGAGAATTACTCAGATCCCAAGATGATAACAGTGCTTCCTGTAGATATTAAGGTAAAGCAGTGGCTTTTTAATGAGATAAGACCATAAATCTTCATATACATGTATATAGAGTATAACAGGATACTTTTTATGTATATGACTGGTACGATGGCAATCACCTAGTGAGTGTGAAATGTGGCCGTTTCTAGGAGGAGAAGTTCAGGCAAGTCTCTCCAAATTCACTCATGACTACCAGGCAAGTTCAAGGCCAAAATGAACACAACAGAGAACTTAACTCTACGAGAAGATGAAGCTGTGTTACATCTGCTGTCTCGGTTTACACAAAACTTCGGGTGGTTCAAGACATCACGTTCACTTCCTGAAATGTAGATCCGGCAGATTCTAACAATGAGTGGTTCAATGCTGGAATACGCTACTACCTCAAATGCAGTCAGTCTTCACTTATACTCTCGAAAAGTCTGTTTAGTCTAGTGTTAAGTCTAATCAGTAGAGTCTATCGAGTCTGCATAATCTTGTCATGTCTGCATTATTTAGAGTAATTTCTATTCATGTGGGGGATTGTTGGAACCCAAATTTATAAGCCATTGGGCTGTGTAAATTTATGTTGTAATGTGAAGAGAAATATGGATCAAATGTCTTTTGGGCTCAAACTAAAAAGCCTTTCATTTGAATTGCAAGAGTAAAAAGAATAATTCCAGGAATATGCCAGAATAATTCCAGGAATATGCCGGAATAATTCCAGGAATATATCGGAATAATTCCATGAATATTCGTTATTCTAGGCGAACCTTTCTATATAAATAGGCGCCTAACCTCTTCATTGTTTCTCAGACTGAAAAGCAAACAACAAACAGTTCCAGTAAAAACCCAAGTCTTCTCTTAAAGTAAGTCTCGAGAGTATAGCGTAGTAGTTAGTTCGTAGATTCTGTTTTCGGGTGCAGCGAAACAGTCTCATCGTGGTTGTATCATGGGATTGAAAAATCGCATCTAAACCGTCTCACATTACGGGCGATTTATTGAGTTAAGGAAAGAGATCAAATCTCGACTCCACGAATTCGTCTATTTTCTTAACGATTTCTTAAACGTTTTCTCCGTCTCATCTTATCGTTATACGATTTCTATTTCGTGATTTTCAATCAGGATTTTCGTGGTCCTACATAATCTAGTGGTGGTTTCACTTCTATGACTGTCCATTACGAATAATTTGTTTCCTGTTTTGATTTTGAGTATCATAATAATTGTTGTATCAACCCATTCTTTTGCCCCCTTCTATAACATCCTCCAATTGGTATTCTTCTTTTGGAAAATTAAGATATTCATATTTTCCACAATCTCCATAATATCCATGAAGGCAAATCTTGAAAATGTGCCAATCTCGAATGTCTACTGAAACGTATACATTCTTCAAGTTTTTCTTCTAGACTTGCTGTTGAGCTATTAATAATGTTATTAGAAACCCCTAATAACAGATTTGGCATAGTTACACTCAGAGAAGATATGTGCTTCAGTCTCCTCAGTTTGAAACATCTTTTGCAAATCAATTCTCGGGTGATAACTTTAGTTTGGGAGGTATTTTTGTTTTCCATATAACCAATGTTTTTAAACCCGACCCGGACACTTACTGGATGATTTACTGGATCACTGGGTTACTGGATCGACCGCGGGTGAATCACGAACTAATAAATGAAATTTTATTATATAATAATATATTAGTTATGAAAATAAAAATATATAAACTAAAGTTAAATATTTTATAAATGTTCTTAAAACATAACATGTATAAATATAAAAAATATCAAAAACTAGTTTAGACTATTTAAATTTTTAATAAGAAGTTAAGAGTAATAACATCTAAAAAAATCAAAATATAAAATTTATAAATACTTAAATGTTTAATGAAAACTTAGAACATGTAGTATGAAAGATTTATGATAAACAAAACAATCAAAAACTCAAAACAAAGAAGAAGAAGGATATATAGAGTCATAGAAGTGAGTAGAGAAAAAAAAAAGCGGCAATGCCAATAACTAAAACATGAAAACATAACTTTTAATTAGAAATTTAGAATATAAAACAGGATAAAAACATAATTTAAAACTAAAGAAAAAGTAAAAGTTTTTTTTTTGGTTCAACCAGTGGTTCAACTGATATCAGGTTTTTGGGTTTTAGTGGGTTTTCCGGGTTTCTGCGGGTTTTTAAATTTTAGGATTTTAACAAAACCTGAACCGGATTTATTTTGAGTCACAGGATTTACCGGTTCAACCGCGGATCCGGTTCGGATTTCAAAACACTGCATATAACTAAATTTACTCCCCAAACTTAAATGGTGAGTTTTATGCTAAATCAGTCTAACTGACAATGAACGTTCAGAGTTTTTCATATGTGGACATAAAACTAGTGACAAGCCTTTATGGAAACTGGAAACAAAGAAAACTAAACAGAACATATTGAGTCTTCAACGAGGATTAACATTAGTGATTGTTGCTTCATCCACAGAACAAGTAAAAGACTTGCTGCTCGGTTGACTAGGGTCCAATCCCTGGGATGAAGAAGTCGTTCCTGACCTGTTCCCAAAGAAAAATCCAGGCGGCAGAGGTAGAGGCAGAGTAATAGAGCTGGTTGTGAACATTTGGTGAATCGTTGAAATTGTTGGCCGATCTGCAGGATTTTCTTGAACGCATAACAGTCCAATATGAATGTATCTAACAACGTCATCAATGTTACAGTCTTCTTTAATACCAGGATCAATGAGATCGGGCAATGATTTGTTCTCCCAAAGTCTCCAGACCTGTAGAAGTTAAGTAATATATATTCAGAACTATGATCATTATTTAAAAATAAAAGTTGTTGAGACTATAAATTAGGTTCTAGTTGCTCACATATGTGACCAAGTTGTTAACTAGACCACCCATCTGGTAGAAGCTGCTATTCTTTTTGCCACTAATGATCTCTAGAATCAATACTCCAAAGCTATATACATCTGACTTCATCGAAAATTGGCCATGTATCACATACTCAGGTGGCATATAACCGCTGCAAAATACATGTTAATTAGCTGAAAAATTATTTGTTTATCGAAGTTCATCAGGTCCATGTAAAACTATATACTCACAAAGTTCCAACTACTTTTGATGTATTGTCTACAGTTTGGTCCATTCCAAAGATCCTTGCCATTCCGAAATCAGCAATTTTGGGATTCATATCAGCATCTAATAGAATGTTACTAGCTTTGAGATCGCGGTGTATAATCTTGAGCCGTGAATCTTGATGAAGATATAAAATCCCTCGACTGACCCCAATGATGACGTTGTGTCTCATTGTCCAGTCCAACTGAACTCTCTTACTAGCGTCTGAATATTCATGCATAATCACAACTTTTAATGTAAACGAAGAATAAATAACTAGCCAAACTCTATCTATGAGTTAGAATTTAGAAAAAACTGACCGAAGAGGAAATAATCAAGGCTTTTGTTAGAGACAAACTCATAGACGAGTAACTTTTCTTCTCCCTGAAGTGAAAACCCGAGAAGTCTAACAAGATTCCTATGTTGAAGCTTGGCAACAACAAGAACCTCGTTTTTGAACTCTACTTCACCTTGTCCTGATGTTTTTGACAGTCTCTTTACCGCAACTTCAGTTCCATTCATAAGAATGCCCTTTATAATAATTATAAAAGAGGCATCATTATTTCATTTTTCCCCAAGAAAGAAGCAATCTAGGTAGGCAAATAGAGCATCTATACCTTATAAACCTCACCAAATCCACCTACACCAAGCTTGTTTTCTTCAGAAAAATTACTAGTTGCAGCTTCTATTGTCTTGAAACCAAATTGAACAGATTCCGCTTCATTTAAGAACCAACATTAAGCTCGTCAAAAACATTTAGTAAGCAGTGAGGTTCTTAACATTACAATACTAATCAAGGAAACTCACTTGGAAGTTGTATATCTTGCTTTTCCTTTCTCTTCTTGAACATAATAAAGCCTACAGAAATCAGTACTATGGTCACAACAATAACTGCCACTATCGCTGCGATAATACCTCCTGAGACCTTTCTATCTGCACAAAACCACCAAATCACAAAAAGAAAATAATCATTACAAAAAAAAAACAATAACTGCTCTGGAATTGTTTCTAAAGTGACTTGCCTTTCTTGGTTATATTGGTCAGATTAGCTACAGAAGGACTATTTGAAGGAGGTAATATAGGCGGAGGTGGATCATTAATATGATCAAAAGCACCAGAGAAATTGTACAATTCCCACCGGAAAAAACAACTTGGCCTCAACATAATGGAACCTCTCTTCCCATGATACCATTTCTTATAGTAATCAACACTTGTCTCTAGACAAAGACTACAATCCTTTGAAGAAATGTCTGGAGTGCATTGCATCAACACCAATATGTTCCCATAAACCGGCACTGGAGCTACATCCTTTGCATAGTATTTACCAGACAATAAGGACGAAGAAGACGAATTTTTTCTCACCGAGGAAGAAGCTCTAGTGATCATACGAAGCATAAGCCCGTCCCACACACTATCAAACTCCTTCTGGTTTTCTTTTCTTACATCCATTGCATTATGAAACACTGTATTCGGTTCCAAGGCGAGGACCCCATAGAGGGACTTGCTAGAGTAGCGAACAAGGCAAATGAACTCATCACCTGACCATACGAAAGCATCTGTTTGGTTCGAACAAGTACTTAGTAGACTATCGGAGGCGTCCTGGATACAGTAGGAGCAAGCTTGTGATTCAGCACCTGGAGCGCACATCCCCAAGGCGTAGACTCTATCAGGGCCTAGCCCGATGGAACCGTTGAAGTAGCCGGCGTGAGCCGTGACATTAGAAGCAAGAGTGGAGTTGAAGAGAAGGCGGTTCTTCTCATATGGACTGTTGGGTTTGAAAGTCCCAGCAGCTTCATCACAAGTTTGTGCAGAAACAAAAACGGGACTGAAGCTTATGAGTAAGAAGCAGAGGATTGATGCAGAGCTCTTCTTTCCCATTTTTGTTCTTCTTTTGATTATTTAGATAGGTATGTGTGTTGAAGTATGTGGTTACTGGTTATTATCAAGCTATATCATAAGTTTGTATTTCCTTACTTGAATGGCACATGCACATTAATGGGAAAGTGACGACTTTGAATTATTGTGGGAGACTTTGGAATATTATAAGTCAACTTTGATTGTAGGTGAAGGAAATTAATGAGATAACATACAGTTGAGCCTAACTTAATACTACTAAAACATAATAGGACATCACCTTTTACACATTCATTTAACAGTATCATCTAATAATAAAAATACAGTCGGTCTATTAATATATAAATTCGTTACCAATAGTATTATCCTTTAGGGCTCATCAGTTGCTTGTTATCTAGAACAAATGTCAAGTTTTGAAGAAACCGGCCTGAACCACCTTTTTTTTTTGTATTTTTTATAAATTTTATCGACTAATCCGGTTGGCCCCAGGAGGAACGCATTTAGTGCTACATAGTGGAATGGCTACCACACCATCTGACCCGAGTTTAGAATACCTTCCGACTAATGCCAGAGGGTGAACCGATCATCATGTAAACCACTTGGGTCGATTCCCAAGCTTAGACTAGCCAAGTAATAGTAATTTAGTTCTCGAAGAGAATCAAACCCATAACTGATGTGGGTACACACCAAACCCCAAGAAATTTCCACTAGACTACCACCACTTGGTTGTCTGAACCACTTTTGGAAGCAAAGGAACATCATAGAGGACTAACACCATTTGTGTTTATGAAAGAAGATAAATCTTAGCTTCTGATTCAACGAGGACTAACACTTGCGATCAATGCATCATCAACAGAACAAGCAAAAGACATGATAGGAGATAGACCATGTAGCAATCTCTCGGCTAATGGGTTATGGGTCCGATGCAGATATGTCCCTGAAGAAAAACCCAGGTTGCTGAGGCACATGAAGAGTAATTGAAGTATTAGGTTAGCATTCAAAATATTGTGGATACTGGAAATACTCCAGTACTGTAAACCTTCCATGTGGCACAATGGTGAAGAAAACAGAGAATGACCGGTTCGAGTAGCGTGCGAAGCAAGATTTGTCACATGACCATAAGAAAAACAGACGGCTCGGACCAAATTGAGAAGTTTTCAGCTTCCATTTTCGCCAGAGTCAAAAGTAAAGAGAAATCTTAAAGCATGCGATCTGAACAACAAAAAGTGTCTCAACATTTTTGATTTGGTAATAAATCCTTATCTATGTTTCCCGTCTCTATGTTTACTATCATTAGCTAGACCAGACTCACTCTCCCAATGTTCCACAAGTTATTTTGAATTTGCTATAACTATCTTCAAAATCATTCATATAGCTTGAATTCAACATATTTTGGAATGGCGATAATTTTTTGGAATGGATGGTGTTAACACTGTGGTTACACACGTCCAAAAAAACAGAAGTTAATACAAGTCCACACACACACACAAAAGTTAATAAAGAAATAATCGGTATTGTAATAGAAAATTTGGAGAGAAGTATGCGTTTGATTAGTGGATGTCAAACATATTATGTTTGAATGTTGTTTGTTTATTGTGAATTAGTTGACGCCAAAAGAAGTTGACATTGTCTTGGAAGACATAACATTTTTTTTACACAGAAGTATTAGCTGGTTTCTTCACTTTACTGTTTTTTTATTATTTCTTTCCTTAATTTATATGCTCGCATCAAGATTTGTTTGGACTCATAAATTCATAATCAAACAAACAAATGAAAGAATGGAGAAGAAAATGTCTAGCAATGCATGTTTTGGTTCTCTCTTCCTTCTTGCTTTCTTTGCAAGCTTAAGATCTTCTGCACAGCAACAAAACTCTAATTACATCTACCATATTTGTCCCAATACGAGAACTTACCCCACAAACAGCACATACTCCTCCAATCTTGGAACCCTTTTGTCCTCTCTTTCTTCCAACCGTCCCTCTTTTACAAATGGATTCTACAGCACCGCCGCAGGTCAGAGCCCTAACGTGGTATTCGGACTCTTCCTATGCGGGGGAGATACCTCGGCGGAAGACTGTCATGACTGCGTCGTGTTTGCGGTCAACGACACTCTGTTCGATGTCCAGAAGAAAAAGGGGCCTTGGTATGGTATGACCAGTGCATGCTTCGATACGCTGACCAGAACTTTTTCTTGGACCCTTCACTCCAAAATAGAACAAACGGAATCATCTTGTATAACAACATTGTCAATGTTACGTTTAGCAGTGTGGCCCAGTTCTCAGATGCAGTTATGTCCATACTAATCGATGCCGCCATAGAGGCAGCGAGTAGTTCTAAGAAGTTTGATGCGAGAAAGGTCAATATATCTGCATCTCAGAGTTTGTACGCCATGGTTCAGTGCATTCCTGATCTGACGAGAGATGACTGTTTGCGTTGTCTGCAGCAGGCCATTAATGAACTGACCATCAGTGAATCAACCACTAACAAAACTGGGGGAAGACTTCTTGGGGGGAGCTGTAGTTCGAGATACGAGCTTTACCCGTTCTTCAATGAAACCGTCGATATTTCAATCCCTTCACCACGACTTGGTGTGAACATTAGCTTTACATTGACTACTTATCAAATGTTTGTATGTAATATGAGGCCAACTAAATTTGTTGTGTGTATACAGAAAAAGGGGGAAGGTCCACTGTTTTAATCATCGCTGTTGTTGTTTCAGTCACAGCGGTTTCTCTTCTCTTTGTAGCTATGTTTCTTGTCCGAGCTAAGAAAACAAGAACGGTTAATGAGACGGAACCACTTGCTCAAGGTAAAAGACTCCTTTCCTTAAGTCCAATGATTGAATATTCATCTGTGTTCTTGTCTTAATTCGGCTGTTGAAATTTTTTTCTACAGGCAATGATGATATTACCACTTCAGGATCACTTCAGTTTGATTTTAAGGCGATTGAGGCAGCAACAGATAATTTTTCACTGAGTAATAAGCTTGGTCAAGGTGGATTCGGCCAAGTCTACAAGGTATACATACAATTTTTAAGGCTTATTCCGTTGATATTTATCTACAAGTATCAATCGAATATTCCTTCATATATTCCTTCATTGTTAACCTATAAAACTGCATTTGTGTACATTTTTATCTTGCCGTTATTTCCTATTCTTGCGATTGTTGTAAGACATATAGTAATCATGTAGGGTACCTTTCCTAGTGGAGTACAAGTTGCAGTGAAGAGGCTATCAAAGACATCAGGACAAGGTGAAAGAGAGTTCGAAAACGAAGTTGTTGTTGTGGCAAAACTACAACATAGAAATTTGGTAAGGCTTCTTGGGTTTTGTCTCGAAGGAGACGAGAAGATACTTGTCTACGAGTTTGTGCCCAACAAAAGCCTGGATTATTTTCTTTTTGGTAAGTTGAGATTAAAACATAACCTAATATGTATATTTTTTTTCAAATTTCCATTCTTTGTTTTAAGTACGCTTGTGCAGACTCTACGATGCAGGGCCAGCTGGATTGGAAGAAAAGGTACAAGATCATTGGAGGAGTTGCAAGAGGAATTCTTTATCTTCATCAAGATTCACGACTCACAATTATACATCGTGACCTCAAAGCTGGTAATATCCTCTTGGATGCTGGTATGAACCCGAAAGTTGCGGATTTTGGAATGGCCAGAATTTTTGAAATGGACCAAACAGAAGCTAATACGAAAAGAGTAGTCGGAACCTAGTAAGTTTTTCTCATGCCATGTATTACCTTTTTTGGTCTGTAATATTACTAACTCAGCGTTTAATAATTGTGGCAGTGGTTACATGTCTCCCGAGTATGCAATGTATGGCCACTTCTCCATGAAATCAGATGTGTATAGTTTTGGGGTTTTAGTTCTAGAGATTATAAGCGGCAAGAAGAACAGTAGTCTCCACCAAATGGATGGTAGTGTCGGCAACTTGGTTACATATGTGAGTTTAAACACTTAGAGATTTTTTCCAGGTTTATTTAATAATGACCAAAGTTCTAACGATTAAAATGTTCAATAGACTTGGAGGCTATGGAGCAATGAGTCAGCATTAAAGCTCGTGGATCCTTTCTTTCGAGATAACTCTCTAACAAACGAAATTATCAGGTGCATTCATATTGCTTTACTATGTGTTCAAGAAGATGTTGAAGATCGACCAACAATGTCAGCAATCGTCCAGATGCTCACTAGTAGTTCAATCGCTCTAGCCGCACCTCGACAGCCTGGATTTTGTTTCCGAAGCAGGCATGAACAAGCAGGGAGAGTAGGTCCATGTATGGATGCGTCTGCTCTCTGTTCAATCGACGATGCCTCTATTACTAGTCTAGCTCCTCGTTGAAGGCACAAACACTTCGTAAATCTAACAGTTTGATATTTGATTCTTAACTATTAAGGATCGTTATGAACAAAAATTCGCCAAAGTTAACTGTTTCCATTGTTCATTTATATGTGTACTATGTTTTAAAGTTTGATCATATAGCTCGACCAGACTAATCTGTATAACCTGAACATTCAACCCTATTAATGACTCCGTCAGATATTAAAGGAGCTCGAAACTCAGACGAATTCTTAATTTCTGCACTACACACATGTTCCGAAACAAATCAGAAGAGTTAAGCAAAAAAAGAATAAGGAAATTAACAACAGTATGGTGATAGTAACGAGTAATGCGTCCTACCAAAGAGTAGATGATTCAGATAATGTCTATTGAATATATCTGGTTCTTATCAATAAAAACACTAGCTGGATCTTCTATGAGAACGGGCAACAAGCCTAATAGGATTTTTTTATGTGAAATCTTTGCTACAAGAAACACCTTCGTTCTTGAAAGTAATAATTGAAAAACACAGGGATTTGAGTTCTCACCATCAAATTCTTGGGCTGTACGGAATCGACCAAATGTCATTGAATATTTAACTTAAGACTTTGGAAGATGATAAATCCATGTATGTGGTGTGACCGTTTAGACTTTCGGTTAAGTTAACTTGGTTTTATAACAGCCGGTTCAGTGGGTGAGTCTTATTCTTTTTTGTTAATTTAGGGTAATATATGTAAAAATAAAATAGTAGTGGGGTGAATTTGTAATTTTGTAATACTTAAGAGAACAGATACACAATCTTACTGACGCAGCCACCGGAATCAACTATTGGGAAAATGGACAACGGAGCTGAAATTGAAGTGAATCCATCGGTGGCGGCGGAGTCTGGGTCTTCATTTCCCTCCGATCAACTCTCTCTGAGGTTGCAAAATAACCAATTTTTCAATGCATTGTCTGTACTCATGCTTTGATCGCATCTCTAGTTGTCCGTTGGAACGATGTAAACATTGCAAAGTTTGATGCTTTTAATCTCTTTGGTAATCATAAGGACTGTTTGCTTTAAAGTTGTTTGTTTGTGTAGCTAAAGAGAGTTCCTTGATGGTGTTATAGGCTACAGGAAGCTCAGTTGATCACATGAGTTGCTTTGGAGATGCAGCTGGACGGCTTCAGGAAACCGGTATGATTAGAGAAAAAATTAACCGGTTTTGTATGAATGAACAATCAATTTGAACTACTTTTCTTTTGTTGTATGAATTTTGCAGCTCTAGATGCCTCCACTAAAGGGAACCGCTACATCAACTCTTGCCTCAGGTACTTTCGTAATGATCTCAGATGTGATTTAATCTGTAATAATATGCAGATTAAACGAGGAAATTAAAGGTGTTGAGAGTCTGGCGACTCGGTTGTATCCTTAATATGTTTAGCTCTTAGCTTTCTTAATTATGGTTTTAGTTGGAATTTGTTGTTATAATCCTTAAATAAATCAATATGCAGAAAGCACCTGAGGAGAAATGTGGATGTTCTTGACAGGGCTGTGAACAAGCTTATCCGTCCTCCATGACAAGTCATCAGCTTTCATGGACTTGGATCAGTTCTCTCTCGTATATAAAGATTTTGATTATACCTGATGTTTTTCTTCTTCTTTTTTTGTGACACATTGTTTTGTGGTGAGACGTTTTCTACTTTCTTACGTTGACATGTAATAAATTTCAATATGGTCCCTTCGTTTGAGTTTTGATTATTCGTTTGTCCAAATAATTTAAGATATTATGATGATTACTTTATTTATTATATATATTTTTTTATTTTCAGTGAATAATTAGTTTATTAAAAATATTATTGTAATTAACTATTATAAAAATTAAATGTCACCGACATATTTTTCAAATAATATCTCTAGTTGAATTAGTAACATAGGATATTTAAAAATTTGAAATGTTTGCATATGTTTAATGATAATATCTGCAATGTAACTTTTCTAAATGGATTTTGTTTATTTAATCCATCCAAAATTAACTCAACTACTAACTATAAGTATTTATGTGTTATAATTTGTGTCTAGGATAAGACCTGCGCAGGTTGAATGTATGTAATTAAAATATAAAATTTTAGTATTGACAAATTTAAAATTTACATATGATTGTTTTTATATGTATTGAAATTTTAGAATTTTGAAATTTTTATATATTATCTATACGTAGGATCAGAAACAATTGTAATTAGAACTGTAGATCAAATATTAGAATTTAGTGCACCTGATTTCATATATTTTTTCACTATTCAGTGTTCGAGTGATAGAAAATCAACAAAGTGTCACTGGGTTTGATTAGTATAGTATTAGCAAGCTCCTTAATGTTTTCTTAAGAAGCAGTTGGTAAAATATTTGCATTTAAAATATATAAAATTTCAAAACTAATTTAATATAATTTTTCTATTTATCTAATGATATTAGAAAATATATTTTTTTACAGAGTTTTTTTAAATAATTTTATAAAAAATTTAGTTAAATTATAAATTATTTTTAAAAACAATATTTTAAGTTTTTCAAATACAAGAAACAATTTGAAATTAATTATAGTCGTGATTTAACATAACCATAACGATTTAAAAATTTTTACATTTTTAAATTTTTAAATTTTTAAATTTTTAAATTTTTAAATTTTTAAATTTTTAAATTTTTAAATTTTTAAATTTTTAAATTTTTAAATTTTTAAATTTTAAAATTTTTAGATTTTTAAATTTTTAAATTTTTAAACTTTTAAATTTTTAAATTTTTAAATTTTTAAATTTTTAAATTTTTAAACTTTTAAATTTTTAAATTTTTAAATTTTTAAATTTTTAAATTTTTAAATTTTTAAATTTTTAAATTTTTAAATTTTTAAATTTTTAAATTTTTAAATTTTTAAATTTTTAAATTTTTAAATTTTTAAATTTTTAAATTTTTAAATTTTTAAATTTTTAAATTTTTAAATTTTAAATTTTTAAATTTTTAAATTTTTAAATTTTTAAATTTTTAAATTTTTAAATTTTTAAATTTTTAAATTTTCAAATTTTTAAATTTTTAAATTTTTAAATTTTTCAATTTGTAAATTTGTAAATTTTTAAAATTTTAAATTTTTAAATTATTAAATTTTTAAATTTTTGAATTTTTGAATTTTTAAATTTTAAAAACTTAAAAACTCAAAAATTTAAAAATTTAAAAACCTAGGTTTTAAAAATTTGAAAATTTAAAAATTTAAAAATTGCAAAATATAAAAATTGCAAAATTTAAAAATTTAAAAATTTAAAAATCTAAAAATTTGAAAATTAACAAATTAAAATTTAACTCAGTTTTATATCATAATTTAACAATTTAAAAATTAATTATGGTTATGAGAAGTTTACGTCCAAGTGTCAATCATATATATCTTCATTTTTTTATTGTTGTGTTTTTTTTTTGTTATTACTCGATATAAATATTTATTTTGAAGTTTATTCTCATTTCGTTTGTTTGTTTTGACCTGGAATTTAGAAAATATTTAGGATTTAAAATAATTAAAGAGATACATACTTAGGTTAAGATCTGTCTTTTATAGACAATAAGTATTTTATATTTATTATTCATTTTATATTTTTTGCATATTATAAAATAATAGAAGAATAAATAAATATATATATATATATTAAATAACTAATAAATCAGTTACTATTATGTAATAAATTAGCGTATGCATATAAATTTAACTATCACTCTTGTTTATTCACAATAAGGGTAAATAAATCAAAATAATCAATCTTATATATTGTATATGATATATAATTAAATTTAAATGATATAAACATAGTAATATAGCACACTTTTAATATGAATATTTATTAAATGAGGTTTCTACTCATATGATTTTATGATTATTTGCATATTTGTGTAACAAAACTTTACTGCTTCACCTTTTTCACCATGCTTGCTTTTTCTATTAAGAGAATTGGTAGCTGCAATATTTGCAGTAGCATCGAGCTGCCAATAAGCTTGAAACCCTTCCCACACAGCTTGATTGAGATCTAAGGATTTGTCCTTCTCCAGCCTCCACTTTTTCTTCCACTCAGTCATGTTGCTCGTGTACTGCTTTTTAGCCTGCAAATTAAAGGCTGTCCGCACATCACTGGTGAAAATAGGGTCCCAATTCCAATCTTACTGCAATAAACAAACACAACAAACATATTGATAAATAACCAAAGTCCAAACCAACATTATAAACAGACATCTGATTAAAAATGAACGGAGCCACATCTTCTGAGTTTCTAATGGAACATGAACATAAGTCGGATAAGGCAAGTCGAAGAGACTGTGAAAACATTTCAAAATGGACTTGCAAATTTCATTGTGACTTCTTTCCCGAAACCTATAACAAAAATGAAAACATAAATACATACCAAAATAGAATTGACAAGATACAGAATTAAAAATTACCAACTAGTATTCGGTTCTCCATATGGCTTCTGGAGGATAAAACTATACCTTACCCTTATCTTTTAATAAATTTTTCTTTCTAATTTGACATACAATTTCAAGAATTAGATATTTTCTTTATTTTCTATCTTTTCTTTTCAATAGTATTCGGTTCTCCATATGGCTTCCGGAGGATAAAACTATACCTTACCCTTATCTTTTAATAAATTTTTCTTTCTAATTTGACATACACTTTCAAGAATTAGATATTTTTTGTATTTTCTATCTTTTCTTTTCAATTTTTCCTTTTAGTTGTCATATTTATAACTAGATTTTGAACCCGCACATCCGTGCGGGTATGTTTTTCATTTTATAAAAATATAACAAAACCTTTCAAATATATATGATTTACATTCTATTGTTATATATTGTATAATTTTATAATCTTATAATTTTAATTATTTTTATATAATATATTGTTGTAAGTTTTAAAATAAAAAAATATTCATATTTTTTTATATATATTTGTTGTGAGTTACAAAAATATATGTTAACATTTTTGTATAAAAATATTATATGATTTAAAAACTTTAATATGTTTTAAAAGTGAGTGATATTTATTTATTTATTTGAATAAAACAAATTTTTTTAAAATAAAATATTTCCTTTACCAATTTAATATATTTTATATTCATTTCACATAGCATTTTATTTTAATATAGTGTAGAATATAAGTAAATTATGAAATATAACAATTTTTATTTTAATTAAAATTAATATCAATATTTATATATATATTAATCACGAAATTAAATAATGCATATTTTTAAAAAAATATTTAAACTTCTTAGTAAGATCTTGTTATATATTTTCTTAACAAATTTATTACTAATATCTTATTATTATTAAAATATTGCTCCAATTATATATATTTGATTGATTAATATAAATACTTAAATATGTCATATTAATGAGATGGTCCAACATAACTTTTTGTAGTAGATATAAATGGTACTTCTCTTTTAGTAGAGAAGACTAGATTTTGACCCGCTCAACCGAGCGAGTTTTAATTTCTTATATATATTTGTTTACATTATTATGGGTATATATATTTTTAATATTAATCACATATTTAAATATTTAATAATTTTTATTTTGTTTTGTCAACCAAATGGTGATTTGTTTATGTATATTAATTTTAGATGATATATTGTTGTATATATATAAATTTAAGATATATTAATTTGTATACATGTAATACATAGTATGTTACCCCTTTTTGACAACATAATATATTATTTTAACATATATATTTCTATTTATGAAAATAAATATATTAATATATAATTTTAATTTAGTTTTATGATATATTTCTATTTGATGATAATTAAAATTTGAAATAACTGATTTTCGAAATATATTTCTAAAAGATTGCAAAAAGATTGCAAAAAGATTTTGTTAGAATCTGTTTCCAAATATTTATTTACATTTCCAATAAAAATAAGATATGAAAAGATATCATAATTAATATATGTAAAATTTATAAAGATGGTACAAACTAAAAAATCACACATAAAGTGAAATGGTGACTTCTGTTTTAATATATAAGATATAAGATATTTCCTTTTTATGTTAAGTTAACGTGTGTCAATTTTTCTTTTTAGTTGTAGTTAAATTTTTCTCACAATTGTCGAATAGACAGAAAGGTTACTTTGAAACAGCAAAACCCTAGAAAACACGTTATAACTCTATAAAAAAAGAATCTCTCTTCGGGCCTCCGGAGTAACTGCTTGAATCTTATTTTCTTCAGATTGATTTGCTTGGTATATTTGCATCCATTATCGACTATTTTCTGCTGAGTATGTGTTCTTCTCCACGCCTATAACTTTTTTTAACAGTATGAATTGTGATTAATTGATTATAGCTCGTGTTTTATCCAAGTTTCAACTTCTTTTTCCTTAATTTAATGCCGTTGTCACAGGTTTAAGCAAGAGTTTGCTCGTTAATCATGGCGATTTTTTTCAACCCAGAGAATGCACTAAAGCGTGCAGAAGGTAAACTCCACGTTGTTGCCTTTTGGCTCACGTCTTATGATTTTCTTATAATATTTGTAAAACCATGAATTTTACATCGGGCTGTATGAATTAAAATCAATGTTTACGAAATAGCTAGGCGATAATTAGGTATCAAATTTTATAAAGGACTAGTGTTTGAGCTGCCTAGACCTATTTTTATTACTGATTGAAATTGTGTTGTGTGGTTGCAGAACTTATCAGTGTTGGGCAGAAACAAGATGCTCTCAAGGTGCTTCACGATCTCATCACCTCAAGGAGCTTCAGATCATGGCAGAAACCACACGAGAAGATTATGTTTAGATACGTGGAGCTTTGCGTTGACTTGAAGATGGGACGGTTCGCTAAAGATGGATTGATCCAATACCGTAATTCTTGCCAGCAAGTGAACGTGACTTCCTTTGAAGAAGTAACCAAGCGATTCATACAACTTGCTACCGTAAAAGCTGAGCAGGCCCTTGATGAGAAGGCCTTTGATGTAGATGATCTTGAGGTTACATTGTGGCTCAAGTTCTTGTGGGAGACATACAGAACCGTTCTTGAGATATTACGAAACAACTCCAAGTTGCAAGCCTTGTATGCGGTTAGTTAGTAGTTCTCCTTGGCCAATATATTTTTATTAGTTTTTCTTTTTAAATTTGATTAATTCATTGTGGATTACTCTTTCTTGTAGTTTACGGCACATAAAGCATTCCAGTTCTTTAAGAAGTATAAACGACCAACAGAGTTTCGTAGGGTCTGCGAAATTATGAGAAACAATTTGGAGAACCTTAACAAATACAGAGACCAGAGGGACCGTCCTGACTTGACAGAGCCTGAGACTTTGCAACTATACCTAGACACAAGATTTGAGCAGTTAAAAGTAGCTACTGAGCTTGGACTTTGGCAGGTATATGTTCGTGTCCTTGTGTAATAAAGAGTATATAATCGTATGTATATTCATGTATCTTTCTTTTGCAGGAAGCTTTTCGCTCTGTTGAAGATATATATGGACTGATGAGCATGGTCAACAAAACTCTTAGGCCATCTTTATTGGTGGTTTATTATTCTAAATTGACTGAGATCTTCTGGACTTCCTCTTGTCATCTTTACCATGCTTATGCGTGGTTGAAGCTGTTTAGCTTGCAGAAGAATTTCAACAAGAATTTAAGCCAGAAGGATCTGCAGTTGGTAGCTTCTTCTGTTGTCCTGGCCGCATTATCTGTTTCACCGTTTGGTCATGCACATGGTGCTTCCCATTTCGAACTTGAAATTGAGAAAGAACGCAATTTAAAGATGGCCAACCTCATAGTCTTCAATCTTGAACCTAAATTCGAAGGCAGAGACATGGTAACATTTTATCTGTTTGTGTTATTATCATGTTACATCCTTTGTTTGCTTGCTTGCTTACTCTAATTCCATATGTTTCATTTTTTTTCAGCTTTCCCGGGAATTACTTTTGTCAGAGCTGGTGAGTCCCTAGCAGCTTTGTCTCATACTTGGAACTGTTAATTAAAAATGTTAAACATTGTGACACTTTTTTGTTGTTGTGGTGTTGTGATATGATTTTTCCTTAATTAGGTTTCAAGTGGTGTTTTGAGCTGTGCAACTCAGGAGGTCAAAGATCTTTACCATCAACTAGAGAATGAGTTTCACCCACTTGATCTCAGTTCCAAGACTAAGCCTTTGCTGGATAGAATCTCCAAAATTGATGGGAAGCTGACAACAGCTCCTTCTTTACCAGAAGTGCATCTCTCCCAATATGTTCCCTCTTTGGAGAAGCTTGCTACTCTGAAGCTACTTCAACAAGTAAGTGCATTCATGTTTTTTTTTATCTAGTGTGTATATATTTCTGCATGTACCCACAAATCTAATGTTACAATTATTTTTTTTCAGGTGTCTAAGATGTATCAGACGATAAGAATTAAGAGTCTATCTCAGTTGGTCCCTTTCTTTGACTTCTCAGACGTTGAGAAGATATCAGTTGACGCTGTGAAACACAATTTTTTGGCCATGAAAGTTGATCATGTGAAGGGTTTTGTAACTTTTGGAAACCTGGTATGCCTATTCTGCACTTGAGTAACTTTAGTACTTTACTATAACTTTTTGATAGTTTTGCTTGATTTTATTATGTTTCATGTTTCAGGGTATTGACTCTGATGAGTTGAGAGATCCTCTGACTATTTTTGCTGAGACTATGAACAAAGTAAGAGCCATGTTATTCCCTACTTCATGTAAAGCGTCAAAGCTTGGTAATGACATAGCACCAAATCTAGAAGAGACTGTTGAAAAGGAGCATAAGAGATTGCTTGCTAGGCAATCAATCATTGAAAAGAGGAAGGAGGAACAAGAACGTCAGCAACTAGAGATGGTATGTTTCTTACATGTGTTAAGGTCATTTAAGACAAAGTCTCACTGTTCTGTGTTTCTTTTTTTGTTTGAAGGAACATGAAGAGGAGCAGAGAAAGCTTAAGCTTCTGAAGCAAACAGAAGAAGCGGAACAGAAGAGACTTGCCTCAGAGGTTGAGGGGAGGAGGAGACAAAGAATCCTTAGGGAGATAGAGGAGAGGGAGCTTGAGCAAGCTCAGGCTTCTCTAGAGGCCACTGAGAGACGCCAGATAAATGGAGAGGAAAGGGAGAGGAGGCTCCGTAGACTTGCCAAAACAATGGATTACCTTGAACGAGCAAAGAGAGAAGAGTCTGCCCCTTTGATTGAAGCTGCATATCAGCAAAGACTCATTGAGGAAAGAGAACTTGAGGAACAGGTAAACTTTTTCCTTACATTAGTTGAGGCAGACAAGGTGCTTATAGTCTCTTCTGTGTTGTGTAGACTGAGATCAAGCTCAGCAAGGAACGTCATGAGAGTGACCTTAAGGAGAAAGTCAGAGTGGCCAGAATGTTAAGTTCAGAATCTTTTGTTGAGAATATGGTCAGTGACTTAGTCAAGTTGTGTCTCTGTATGCTAATTTCATGTTTTGTTCTAATAGTCAAACAACTCATCAAATCTTTTACTTTACAGGAAATATTCCAGAAGAGAGTGATTAGGCTTCGAGAAGCTGAGCTTGAGAGACAAAAGAGAGAGAAAGAGGAGCATCTTGCCCAAGTGAAACAAGAAAGAGATGTTAAGAGAAAGCAAATATATTATTTGAAATGTGAAGAGGAAAGAATAAGAAAGCTTAATGAAGAAGAGGAAGCTCGTAAGCAGAGAGGTAAGCAAGCCATGTTTTCATGAAAAAACAAATGAAATTTGTACTGTCTATCTGAGAAGTGTGACTAAAGTTTTCTATAGATGCTGCAGGTCCTTCACAATCGTCTGCAAAATACATTCCTAAGTTCAGGCTTAGCCAAGCCACTGAAGTTTCAGTCTCTGCCGATGAGCAGTGGGGAAGGAGAAGACCACAACATAGTGGCAGGGACAGTGCTGCACCTCTGGTTGAAGGAGATCAACGTGGCAATGCAGGTGAGCGACCTGGTGGTGGTTCTTGGCGCAGTGAAGAAGGCAGATATGCGTTGAGAAGTAGCGGTCCAAGGTCTTCCTTTTCATCAACGCTGATGCCTGTGTAGTGGAATTTTGGTCTCAGTTCCCCTATTTGGTGAAGAAAATAATTTAATCTATTTTAAGACTCGTTTTGTTTGCTCCATCTTGCGATATCTCTGTTCGGTAGTTTATAGACTTTTCAGTTGATTTTTATCAGTAAGAAAACCTTTTGCATTATATAGAATTTAGTTTCTAATCGAGCTTTTCATGTTCATACTTGTGACGAATAGAGACAATGAAAAATAAAAGAGATGGTTATAGAAAGATTAACAGTTTCTACATAAAAGATTATAAAAATCCAAAAGCAGTTTTGGATTCCACTGACTAAGGTGGTGTTATTCATTCATGTATTTTAATAGAGTTTAAATCTAAACACAATCCACTTTTATTCAATTGATGATTCTGATTTCTATTTTAAAATCTAGTGTTATTCATTGAATAATTTAAATCCAGTATTTAAAATCTAGTGTTATTCAACTTTTAATGATTTTAAAATTCTTTGTATTTTGGATTGATTTCAAATCATCTCTTGTGAATTTTTATGAATAAATGAATAAATTCAAAATCTAAGACCTACTGTAGAGATTTCAAAATTCATCAACTTAAACTTTCTTAAAATTTTAAAATTTGATAAATTATAAAACATTAATTATTGATTTGAAATCACTGATTGAATAACACCCTCAAATATTTTGATAGTGTATGTGTATGACACTCACAAGTCACAACAATTGTAAGCTCTTCCCGGTTCGTCAACCAGGAACCGGTTTACCGATCTCTAAACCGGGATACTAGTTTATTTTCATCCGTTAGTCCAGCAAAGTTGAGTGTTTTACACTTAAGGTCACATTATGGATTTTTTTATATTATAGGATACTTTTTGCTTCTAGAACATTTTCTCTAACTTATTTTATGGTTTTCAAATCAAAACATAACTAAAATACTTTTTTTTGTAGGACCCACTATTTTACTCTTCTCATCTTTTTGTTTTCTTGATTCTATTTTTCATTTTCTTCAAATGTTTGATTTTAAGAATTCTTTTAAATCTAAGATCAAAGTGAAACGAAACATTTAGACAATTACATTAGCACAATTAAGAGATCGACGATGATAACCTTATGGTCGGAATATAAAGAATTAGCTTTCCCGTTACAATAGAGAACATCATGGGAATCTCCACAGCTATAATGATTTTCAAGATGTTGCTTTTTGGAAAATAATACTTGGATCTTGTCAAATCTCCCACCCGGTTGCAAGCCTTTAGGCTGCAAATGGATTTTCAAAAGAAAGATGAAAGTTGATGAAACAATCGAGAAGTTTAAAGCCCGATTGGTTATTCAAGGCTTTAAACAAAGGGAAGGTATTGATTATTTCGATACATATGCTCCAGTTGCTAGGATCTCTTCTATAAGATTATTAATAGCTTTGGCAGCAATTAATAACCTTGTGGTTCACCAAATGGAAGGCGGCGTTCTTAAATGGTATTTTGGAAGAAGAGGTGTATATGAAGCAACCTGGAAGTTTTTGTTATGCCTGGCAATGAGCATAAAGTGTATAAGTTGATCCAATCATCGTATGGGCTAAAGCAAGCACCTAAGCAGTGGCATCAAAGATTTGATGAGGTTGTCTTATCAAATGGTTTCAAGTTAAACCAATCTGATAAGTGTTTATATAGCAAATTTGATGAATCCGGTAACAGAGTAATCATTTGTTTGTATATTGATGACATATTGATCTTTGGTACTGACCTTAGACAAGTAGAGCTTACAAAAGTATTTTTGTAATCAAATTTTGAAATGAAAGACATGGGAGAGGAGGATGTAATTCTTGGAATTAGAATCAAACGTAAAAACAAAGGACTATCTTTAACACAATATCATAACATTAAGAAAGTTTTAAAGAAGTTCCATTGTGGAATTGTTCTCCAATAAGCACTCCCATGAATCCGAGTTTGAAACTTATGTCTAATACAGGACAAGCAGTATCACAACTCGTATATTATCAAGTGATTGGCTGCTTAATGTATGCCATGACGAGCACTAGGCCAGATAAAGCTTACGTTGTAGGAAGGTTGAGTAGACACACTAGTAATTCTAGTACTCAACATTGGCAAGCCTTAAAATGGGTGCTCAAGTATTTGAAAGAGACCATTGATTATGGTTTTTCATATGTCAGATTTCCTTCGGTGTTAGAAGGATATTCAGATGCAAGTTGGATTACCAATATAGAAGATCATTCTTCTACAAGTGGTTGGGTGTTTTTGTTTGGGGGGGGAGGGGGGGTGGAGGTGCCATTTCATGGCCTTCTAAGAAGCAAACTTGCATTACAAGTTCGACTATGGAGTCGGAATTCGTAGCATTAGCAGCTGCTAGTAAAGAGGCAGAGTGGCTAAGAAATTTAGTGTACGAGATTCCATTGCGGCTGAAACCTGTATCACCAATTTCTATGCATTGTGATAGTCAAGCTACCTTGGCTAAGGCCTATAGCCAAGTGTATAATGGTAAGTCTAGACACATGGGCGTTAAACATAGCACACTACGTGAGCTGATCACTCACGGGTTGATAACAATAGAGTTTGTTCGATCTCAATAAAATTTAGCTGATCATTTGACGAAAGGATTAGCTAGGTACTTAGTGTTTAAGTCGGTTAAAGGGATGGATTTAAAGTCCATTTGAAATCTTTAATGGTGGGATACCCAATTCCCCTCTAATACAACGTTAGAGGCTGAATTCAATGTGGAAAACCTACACTTAAAGATTGAAGCACATTTTTTTTTAATATAAAATCCCAAGGTATGTGTTTGGACCTGCAAGAAGAGTTATGTTGAAATATACTCTTAATAAATACTTAAAAAATGAATTTGCAGGTGAATGACTGAAAGTATTTACCTATATGAGTGTGAAGTGATGCCACTTCAATAAGCTGAGACTTGGCTTTGTATGCGCTCATGAATGGATAGAGACACATGGCTTATAATAGTGTCAAGTATAACATTTAGAGTAGTGTGGAAACACGTGTGTGTATTATCTTCATGTGTTCAAAATGGGTTGAGGGATTCAATCCGTAGGACATCTTGATTCTCGGATATTTGGAATGTGTAATACACTAATATGAAAATTCAATTCTTCGAACATTTTTATTTATTCATGAGTTTAATATATGTATTATTTATTTAATGAATCTGTGATTACACTTAAATGGGGGAGGATAGTTATATATTTAAGTGAATGTGAATGGGTGCAAGTGTTTATTTGAACCATTGCACAACTACATAAATGAAATCTTGCAATTTTTGATGATTACAACATTTGGTAATAAACAGTATTGATAATTGCAACATTTGGTAATAACTACCTTTATGATTGCAACTCTTGCTGATTAACCATTGCAACTCTTCATTAACCTTTGCAACTTTTTGTTTAACAATTGCAACTATTGGTTGCAACTTTTTAATCTCTATATATAAAGGGATGTAGACATTGACAAATGATATAGAAAAATCAGAAACAAATAGTTAGTAAGAGAGTAAAAGAGAAATAGATTCACTGTTCAAAGATCATCAAAGATCTTTGAATAACACATATAAACACTAAAACATCTTTTTTGAGATTTCGTATAACCCATAGATTTAGAATAGAGTCGAAATACTCTTTAAAGAAAGTGACATCGTACGCGATTCAATCATTATCCAAGTATATAATTCACAAATTTCTGGGTTACAACCCAATTAACCAACATGCACAAAAAAAATTAACAAAGGAGTAGCACACACCAAACACACATAAAATGAGTTGCGCGGGTCGTTATTTTTTAAATCTATACTATTAAAAGTGAAGGCACCCTTGAAAAATCGACTGATAGAAATTGTCTGCACCCTCATTAATGGCATTTTGGTAATTTTTTTTTTTGGGCTTACATCTATATATATATATATATATATCAATTTGTTACAAATCATATCACATATTACATATACCCGATTTATTCTCTCTCTTCCCATTAATCACTCTAACCAATATTCTATATTATATTTCATACATTTATATTGTCTTATAAACTTTATATTACACGATTTCAATCTATAGATTGACTACATAAATATTTAATATAATATAAACTAATTATATGGTGTTCAGATGCTCTCATACTTATAAATGTTTACATATTTATAAAATAAATTGTAATAAATTGTAATTGTAAATCATAATATATAATTCAATATACTGTATAATAAAATCAACAAAAATTAATATTCTTTTTATAAAATAAAATTATATTGTATTTAATATAATATAAACTAATTATATGGTGTTCAGATGCTCTCATACTTATAAATGTTTACATATTTATAAAATAAATTGTAATAAATTGCAATTGTAAATCATAATATACAATTCAATATACTGTATAATAAAATCAAGAAAAATTAATATTGTTTTTATCAAATAAAATTATACTCAATTATATTTTAATATAGTAATGTAGATATTATATTAAATATAATTTTTTATTCTTTTAATATATATTTTAATATTTTGCATTAAAAATTGAAGTATGTTGTCATCTCTATGAATATATGTTGTCATCAATATGTAATTTTTAAATTTATAGTTTATAAAATAATTTTAATTAAGTTATTATATATATATATATATATATATATATATTTATTGTAGTAATTTAATTATGAATATGAATAATGTATTTATAAATATTATAGTAATGATATTTCTTATTTAATAAATCCAAATGAATTAAAATTAATTGTAATAATATTTAAAAGTAATTACATTTTATTATTTAAAACAAATATTAAAACAATAAATAATTATATTTTCTCGAAAAAGATATTAAAAGATATTGTCAGAATAAAAATATTAGAAAAGATCTTGGTAATATCTTTGATATCTGATTTTGAAAATATTTAAATAATATATTAAGATTGTTATTGAATAATAACTAAATTTGTTATATGCAAGATAATTTCAAATATTTTTGTATTAACTTTTCTTCATATGTCGATAT